CGAACCATGACCTCCTGGTTCATAAGTTGATGCTAAACCACTAAGCCATGCTGGCGGGCTCCCCATGCATTCTTTATCCAGATTTCCAAAATATTAACATCTGCACGTTTTGTTATTCACATTGCTTTATCATTCTTTCTCGATATATATAGACAGTACATATACATATATACAAATTACACACATATACACATTTATATTTCTGAACCATTTGAGAGTAAGTTATACATTTGATGCCTTACCCTCCAGTATTCAGTATCTATTTCCTAAAATCAAGGACATTCTCTTACAAAACCTCAGTGCAATGATCAAAATCAGGAAATAATAATAAAATACTATTACCTAATCTATTTAAATCTCATCAGTTGTCCTATTAATGTCCTTTATTGCAAAAGAAAAAACTTTTTCTGCCGGTCCAGCATCATTTATTGCATTTTGTCATCACTTATCTTTGGTCTCCTTTAATTTGGAGCAGTTTCTCAGTCTTTAATGACTTCAACATTTCCGAAGGATACAGGCCAGTTATTTTGTAGAATGTTTCTCAACTTGAATTTGTCCGATGCTTCCTCACGATTAGATTAGATTGTGCGTTTTGGGCAAGAATATCATAGAAGTGAAGTTGGTCCTTCTAGGTGTCATGTCAGGGGCACACTGCTTTGTCCCACGACTGGTGCTCTTTCCCCTGGTCATGAATAAGTATCTTAGAGGCGATGCTTGGAGATTATGAATGTATTCTGTTTAACATCCATTCATGATTCTTACCTGAATCAATGATTACTTTGATGGTTTGGCAAAGACATTTTTTATTCCACTGATAAAATGGACGAGGAGGCGTGATTTGGTATTAGTTTAAGCACACAGATGTTTCCAGAGAATGAGTTCCAGCTGGGAGCTTAAGGTAGTTTAACCTTGCTCACACTCACTGGATTTGGGTGAAAGAGAGCAGGCTACTTGTCTATATTAGAAACAAAAATAAAGAAAATCCAAAAAACTTTGCCCCAAACTATTGACCCAGTCGGAGTGTCAAGCTCTGACTTCTGCAAATTGCATCTCCAGTCTCCAGGAAGGAGGAGGTTTCCTTTCTAACTCTGGCTCCATTCCCGCTTCAGGCCCTGGGCAGAGTCCTTGCGTAAGCTGCTGATGCGGTCACTGGCTGCTGGGGAGAGAAAGGCAGAGATTTCCCAGTTAAGGAGCTGGCTGTGTTTCCTTCATAATAAAAAATAAACCCACCCCTAGCTGGTTTGGCTCAATGGATAGAGCGTCGGCCTACGGATTGAAGGGTCCCGGGTTCGATTCCAATCAAGGGCACATGCCCAGGTTGCAGGCTCAATCCCCCAGTGGGGGGCCTGCAGGAGGCAGCCAATCAATGATTCTCTCTCATTATTGATGTTTCTCTCTCTCTCTCCCTCTCCCTTCCTCTCAGAAATCAATAAAACAAACAAACAAACAAAAACACCCAGATTCTTTAGAAACTTTGATTTTTCAACCTGAATAGGGCTTTTCAACTTTGACTGGGCCTGTGGATCCTCTGTGACTCTCTGAATTAGTTTGGTTTAGTGTAGGAGTGATTGCAAGGGGAATATTTAACCCCCAGAGACTACCCACGGAATCAGAGGGTGTGCAGGACTGGATCTTGACAATATTTGATTAGGTGTCTTCCATTTGTGCCCCTGCTGTTCCTACCTCTACTTGAAAGGACTAAGAAAACTCTTCTTCATATAGGTTTTCCTCCCCAAAATTTCAAAGTACACAGTGAGTTGTGAGTGTTGGTGCTTCCTTCTGCTGATAGAAATGTGACAGGCCCTCCCACCATTCCATGAAGGTCACCCCATTTTTTACCCTTGCCTGAGGCCTGACTCATGGTGTACCTGTGTGTAGGACCAAGCACACCCCCTACCTGACAGGCTGTCACTTGCCATCTGTTCCTCCTACCGCTGCCAGATCAAGGAATGTCACAGTCACAGCCATGTGGACACAGCCCAGCCTGTCCAGCATGTCCTAAGGAGATCACGAGGGAAGGCTGCGGGGATGGTGGGGTCCCTGGGCTAATCCTGCCCCCGTCTCGTTACAGCTGCCCTACGAGAAGGCCTGCAAGAATAAGCTGTTTTGTGTTGCTGAGTTACAGCTGGCCACCACCTCTCCGTGAGTCGGATCCAGTCATCACAGTTTCTGTAGTAAACTTCCTCCTGACTTACCTGAACCGACCATTCCCTCTCCTTCCCCTCATGGCCCACAAAGGGCCTTGCATTTATTATCTCATTGCTTCCCCAGCCATCCCATAAGGGAGGCAACACAGAGATCTGCTTTCCCATTTTACAGATTAGAGAACAGACTCAGTAGTTGGGAGCCTGCGTGGGGTCACAGGGGTCACCTCGTAGACTTGAACCCAGGTCTCCGACATCCTGGGAAATGCTATTTTCATAGGCCGGTGTCAGTTAGAGGCAACCTCTTCCCCGACTCACCTCTTACTCAAATTACTTAATTCAGTAAGTGTTTATGGAGCGTCTACTCTGTGCCAAGCACTCCAGGTGCTGCAGATACAGCAGCAAACAACACAGACAAAGAGCCCTGCCTTCCTGCTGCTTTTAGGGGGGAGAAGACAACAAATAAGTAAATATTATGTTGTCAAGATGTACTATGAAAATAAGGAAGGGAAGGTGGGAGGGAGTATGGGGTGGAGATGGGGTGGCAGTTTTAAACGGAGTGGTCAGGCAAGGGCTCGCTGAGCAGGCTTTTTGGTACACACAGGAGGTCGAGGAATGACTATGTGGGTATTGGAAGGAAGAGCAAGTGCCAATGCCCTGGATGGGAGGAATGGCCAGGACCTAGCAGTGGTTGCAGTAGCATGAGGGGAGAGAGGCAATGTGTGGGCAGGGGACGGTCACCTGGGGCCGCACAGGCCTTCTTCCATGGGGCTGTTACTGGGAGCTGGGAAGCCAGAGGAATGCATGATCTTTCATTTGTCACTGGGTCATTCTTGCTGCTGTGTTGAGAACAGACTATAGGAGCAAAGGTGGAAGCAGGGAGCTAGCAAGGAGCTCTTACAATAACTCAGGGGAGAAGGGATGGTGCCTTGGGCCAGGGTGGTAGCAGTGAAGGTGTTATGTTCTGAAGTTAAAGCCCATAGGATTTGATGACATAGTGGAGGTGGGGAGGGAGGGAAAGAGAGGGGTCTAAGAAATCTTCCAAGGTTTCAGCCTGAGCATCTAGAACTGTGCTGTCCAATTTAAATTTAAATTAAATAAAATTAAAATTTTAGCCCCTCAGTTGTACTGTGCACATTTCAGGTGCTCAGTGCCCACGTATGGCTAATGATACTGCACAGCACAGCAATAACCACTTCCATGACCGCAGCAGTTCTAGGACGGCAGTGATGCCAAGAACTGAACTGGGGAAGCCTTTGGAAGAATAACTTTGGAAGGCAGGGTGGGGAGGAAGAGAGCACGAGTTTGGTTTGGGACGTATGGTGGTCTTAAGTGCCCTCCCAGCTACCAGTGCTGCGTGTATAACATGGTACCGATGGCCAGTGCTTCTAGACGTTTGCAAGACTTGTGTTTCAGATGTGCATGGCTTAGCGCTGCCCATCTCAATCGATAAGGATCCAATTCAAGACGTTTGAGTGCTTTGAAATCCAGCCTAATAAGCAGACACAGCTGCTTCCAAGAGGGAATTAAGCAAACCAAGCACTGCCCTCTTAGCCAATGTGTGTGAACTAGAGACATAGCACACACAGCTGGCCCTACATCACCCCCTAGTGTACATACATAGCAAGCAGCCTCTTTGTTTTTCAAAAGTATTATTAAGCCTAATCTTTAGCATCCAAACACTTCAGTGGTTTTTGACCTTGTGGACATAGATCACCCAAAGAATCTAAGGCAGTCGTCAGCAAACTGCGGCTCGCGGGCCACATGCGGCTCTTTGGCCCCTTGAGTGTGGCTCTTCCACAAAATACCGACTTCTGCACATGGGCCACGAAGTTTCAATTGCACTGTACGTGCGCGCCCGCACGTGGTATTTTGTGGAAGAGCCACACTCAAGGGGCCAAAGAACCACATGTAGCTTCGAGCCGCAGTTTGCCGACCACTGTTAGGGCATGTGCTGGATGT